CATAAAGTCAAAAATAGGTCATAACTTACTGTAATTAAAATGGCTTTTCACATGTTTTTCATTTTATAATTTTTTATGGCATCCATAACTCCAATTCTGGAATCGCCTCATCATACAAATGCATTCATCATACAAAAAAAATCATAATCACCTCTTGACTTCTCTCAAAACTTTAGTTGCTCGAACAGTAACCAGAAAAAAATGATAAATGAGTTTTAAAAATATTTTGTTATCGGCAAAGCTTAAAGCCAAAATCCCAATGATTCCTCCATCAAATGAAAATGGCGAAGAGGTCGCTGGGTCATTATGAACCACCATGAGAAAATGAAGGAAGATTCACCTTTTCTTAGCGCAAATTTCAGAGAAAGCAGCACATTCAAACCAACATCAGAATCAGATCAGGGTTTAGCTCTAGGTATTGATAATTAACGTTAACCATAAATTCCACGTTACGGAGATAATTACGATCACGCATAAAGGATTACACAATTTAAATCTAGTTTTGTGATGGAAAAGAATTAAAATCTCTGATTCGCTGTTTCATTCTTTTGATTGTATCATTCTACCAAGAAAGAAGGAAAAGCTAAACTCACCATTCTGTTGGCGATACTAGAGACGGACACGATGAGAAAAATCGGATGCAACAATAATCTGAAATGTATTATGTCCGAAAATCTGGGGAACCTTATCCCGCACAGGGTTATAGACTGGGATTCTTCCGGCATTTTATCACACTTCTCTGCAATGTTGCCATTACTGCCTTTCAGCTTTTCCGCTTCAAGCGAGAAGGCGCTGCTTAATTGGTCGACGACTTCACTCGAGCTGTAGAGACTGCTACGGAGCGAAGTTCTGCTAACGCTGTTCACCCTTCTTCTGCCGCAGCCCTCGCGCTCGCCCTCTGCTTCGGCGAGAAATACCTGTGCTTCCCCCTCAGAAGTGGCTGACCCGAGGAGCCTGTGGCAGGGACGAGGGTCAAGAGGATGCATTTGGAAGTTGCTTTCAGCTTCCGTGGCGCGCGATTCATTTCCGAATTCCTTTCCTTCAAAATCATCCGCATCATTTACCCTTGTGTCATTATGGCCCTCTTCCTGGCACGGCCTGGCCTCGACCAGGCGAACGTTGGCCAGAGGGTTGGGCTTCAAGTGCCACTCGACCGGCTGGTAGAGAGCGGCGCCCACGAGGGCATGCAGCAGGATCGCCGACCACAGCAGGAGGGCGCCCCGGTGGCCGTAGGTGTTGGCGAGGAACCTGACGAGGGGCGGCATCACCATGAAGCCCAGCGAGGCGCCCAGCATCGAGAGGGCGTTGGCGGCCACCCTCCTTCGGCGGAAGTACATCTGGCCCAGGATGAAGCCTTGAGGGTTCGCTATGCCGCGGCCCAAGCCTGGAACGACGAGTCACGGAGTTTGTGCACGAAATCACCAAGGACTTACTTATACCTAAACATCCAGATATATTACATAACTTTAAAGCTTCCGTGTCTTGCTACATTAGAAATATACCCGGAGAAAACCCTCTGAAATCAGTGCAACGATCAAGCCTAATTCACTCCTAGCTCTCTAGTTTTCTTGGCCTGCAGGAAAAAAGAAACGACTCATGTCAAACAAGCCCTCCTACGCGCCCTTCACAAACATGCCTCTTACCTCCAACAACTCCAAAACAGACGTACAACCAAATCAGGTTGTCCCAGAAGGCGCAGAGAAACACCCCCGCGGCCATTGTACAAACGCCAAAAACGCTTAGTCGACGGTGGCCGTGGTAGCGGCTGAGGCTGGTGGCCAGAGGACCTGTTAGTACAATAATCTTTCTAATGGACCAATAAAGATTTTTTCATTAAATAGGGGAATAAAGTTGAAGCAGGATTTAGTTAGAGTAAAAAATAGCTGAAAATACTGTCAACACAGCAGTAAGTTTTTTTTTCCTTTTTTGTGTGTGTATTTACAAAGCCAATACAGTGTTTTAGTGTAGATACGCTCTACAGTATACTTAGAGCAGCTGGCGTGTACTCACCGATGAGACATGAGAGGCCATACAAGAGGCCGGGGATGGGCGCCACCTGGGAGTTCGTGTATCCTGCCGACACGAGGCGGACATACACGAGGCCGAAACACGTGGAGAGCGTCGGTAGCACGAACTATGGCAGGGATACGGAGGTTAAAAATCTATATGCAATTGCGTAATTTTTTTCTCACATTCAGGTATGTAAAAAGAAAGGAAAAAAAGGAAGAAAAATATATAGATGGGTAAATGGATTTATGTTTACAGAGTGCGTCACCGAAATAGAGAAAATTCCTGCAAGTACTTTTACCCACCTGCATGATCCCACAAGCGAGAACAATAAGCCAACCCCAGCCACCGTCCGGAGGCACCAGCTCTTCGACAGGTGGTTCTCCATGTTCGAGTGTGCTCTCAGAACCTCCTTCCTCAGCACCAGACTCCCCGCGAGCAGTACCTGAGGAGGATCCATTTCGAACTTCAGTACGCGGTTGACGAAAACGTA